TTGGCCATATGATTTAAATTATAGCCAATCGAAAATTAAAGATGTAGCCAAATTGGATTAGTTTGAATAAATTCGGCTAGCAATTTAAATAAGACAAATTAACATAATTAATTTATGAGCTCTTTGATCTTAACGGAATAAAATAATTAACTTAACCATAAACTAATCGATTTGCCTATAAACTCATTAATTCAAAATTGAAACCATAATTCCAACTAGAATTAAATAACTAAAATATTTATTTAAACCGAGTAAAAAAAAATCTTTTGATATGATTTTCCAACACTTATAAAATATACTACTTACGTATATAATTATATGAAATATATTTATTATTCGAAACACTATTAAAACTGATTGAAAACACTTAAAATAACCTTGAAACTATTCGAATTTTTTTTTTAAAAGCCAATTATTCTAAATCGTTTGGAAATTAAGAGACTCAGAAACTAATTATTATCGGGGAGGGTCAAAATTGGGTGTCAACACTCGTAAAACTACTTCATAACACACAATAAGTTTGAATTAAAAAAAGTGACTAATTATTTGCATAATTCTATTAAAATATTGAAGTCTTTTATTAGAAGTTAGTATTACGCTACTAATTTTAATGAGTCATTCTTGATGTGATTTCATCTTCAAATTTAAATGGTTAGAGAAAATACTTTGAATTTGTGTTATTTGATCTTTCAAATATTTCATTCAACTTTTTAACCATGTGTGATCACATCTCTCATGTAAATCCGATTTAAAAAATAAATGAAAAACATACATTGTCAATCACAATTGTAGGAGAAAAAACACATTGTTCAATTAACATTTATTATTATTTTGGATTGGTTCCTAAAATTTATAACAACAATCTTAACCTTATTTTTTGATTGACTATATCATTCCTAAATTTTAGAGCTAAAATACATTGTTAGTCAAAATTATATGAGAAAAATTAGCTAAATAATTACGATTAACTTTTAGTTCCTAAATTTTATATAACAATATCAGCTTTATTTTTACTATTCCTTTGGTTGACAATAATCTCATACTTATTTTTTGGTATTCTGTTGGTTGATTCTATCTCTATTTTTTTCTCTATAAATATTTTTCATATCTTTTTAACCTCTTCATTAATTTTTTCTCAATCAAAGTTAGAGTAAAAAAGAAGATCTTTTTTCTGTCAAAATGGAATTCTTAAGAAAGAATTGTCTTTGCGCTATTTTATTTATGGTATTTTTCTACAGTAATGAAGCTAATTCTTCACATGAAGAATTTAAGAGGTTACAATCCTCTAGTTCTAAATTAGTTAAAAACTTATTTAGAACGGGATATCACTTTCAGCCTCCTAAACACTGATTAATGGTATGTTTTGCTCTCTAATTGTCTCTCTTGTTTGTTTTCGAGGACAAACAAAAAAAGATCTTGCAGGACAAGCCAATGATTTTATATATTTTAGTTTGTGTCTCAAATTGATATTTGTTTTGTATTATTTTATGTTTGGATAATTGTCTATATTCATATCCACCTAGCATCTACATTGGATTCCGATTACATACGAATTCATATTGAAAAAAAGTACTTGTCACTCTACCACAATCATGTTGGTGATTTAATCATATTTTTATTATTTATTTATTTATTTCATGTTAGTTCTTTTCACATAATAAGATATATATATATATATATATATATATATATGCTTTTAATATTTGTATATGATCCTTATTCATGTTACGCCAATAAATAGATGATGACATATGCCCTAACAAACATGGCCGTAGGGGTGTTCACGGTTTGGTTTGGATCGGTTGTTGGTCAAAACCAAAATCAAACCGACTTAATCTGTTTTAAAATTATCAAAACCAAATCAAACCAAACATAATATACATTTGTCGGTTTGGTGGTTATCGGTTTCGGTTTGGTTTGGTGCGGTTATTCGGTTATTAACCATACACAAAAATAAAAGAAACAATTCATTCAAAATGTGAAAAAAATGACAATAATCCATTCAAAATGAAAAATTGTTAGTATGACTTAGATTACTGAACTTTCGATCACTAAATTTACTATCAATAAAGCTTTAAACTTCACTATATTGACCTAGAAGGAAGAGACAATAACATTTTCAGTCCCACAAAGAATTGAACTAGACACTTATATACATGAAATCAATAAGATAAATGTTTCATCTTGGGCATTTTTGCTTTCAATAACTAAAATTATAAAGAAATTTTAATGAAAATATATATAAGATCTTTAAAAATTGATTATAAAAAACAATATATTAAGTATGTATATTAATAAAATATATGTATATAATTCATCGGTTCGGTTATTTCTTCGATTTTTTTGAATAAAACCGTTACCAAACCAAATACTATCAGTTTTCAAAAATCTAAACCAAACCAAACCAAACCCAAATAAAATCGATTTTATTTTATCGGTTTGGTTCAATTTTTCGGTTTGGATCAGTTTTTATCCAAATCGTGAACACCCTAAACATGGGTATCACAAAAATAGAGTTAAATAATATTCATCTTAATTTATCACTTAATTGTGATAAAAATAGTATAATTTGATATAACTGATGCAAATAAGTTTTTATCTTCTCTTAAATAATTATGAACATAATGTATGTGCAACTTAGTATTCTTTGTGATTGGTTAGAGATTTGGTCTGAATTTTCTTTTTAATATATTTATTTTGTGTCCTTATGTAATATTCTATTTCTTTTCTTGTATTAGAACTTTTTTCAATTGCATGGAAATGCCTTTACTAATCATTTTAAATTTAATTCCATGCTATGGGGTGGTCTTGGCTAGATGGTTTGAACAACAACATTGGATCCCACTGGTAAGATCGAGATCTATATTTCAAAGCTTTCACTAAATTTTATCTAAAATCTCAATTTATTTATATTAATTTGATAATTTCCTCGTAAATTACGGATTGATCCTAGTGGCAAACATTTGGTTCAGTGGCCTATTGAAGAATTAGAAATGTTAAGAAAGAAAAAGGTTGAGCTAAGAAATTATGAATTAAACAAGGGAGAAAATGTGGAAGTTCAAGGAATTACACCTGCACAGTTTTTTTTTTTTTTTTGGTTTACAAGAATAAATATCATTTTGTATGAATTATTATGACCTATAATAAGTTACATGTTTGAATCATGAAAACAACCCCTAAAATTTATGTTATAACATCCTACAATATCATTTTCCTGGATTTACAATAATGTAAGATGTTTTATGATCTGAAGTGGTTTTTTGTGTTAAATTATTATGACTAGACAAATGTAGAGCTAATATGTGAGTGTTAATATGATGACAGGTTGATGTTGAAGTTACATTTTCCTTTTCAAGCTTGGAAAATGCAGAAGAATTTGATTCTAGTTGGGCTGATCTTTAGGCCCAAGATGTATGTGCCATTAGGGGTTCAACAGTTCAAGGTGGACTTGGTCCTTTTGGACTCCTAACATTGTCTTCTGAAAACTTGGAAGAGTATACACCTGTATTCTTCAGAGTGTTTAAGACCCAAGATAAATACAAGGTTCTCATGTGTTCTGATGCCTCAAGGTTTGTCTTTTAATCACTTTTCTTTTATCATCAAGTATTGTGGTGAGATCCCTCCTCTTAAACTAGAGAGATCTCAGATCTAAACTTTGGAAATGAAAAAGTTCTCATAGAGAATGCTCTGTCTGTTTAACGAATCTTATGTGATGCAGATTTAAGTTAGTTGGGTCAGACCCACTTTTCATTCCATTTGTGGGAATTTTATGAAAGCGGTTTCCAGCGCTACTGGGCAGGCTATGATCGGACAATAGCGCAGATAAGATCAGACCGAAAGAAAGATAGTCTTTTTTTTCGATTCCGCGCATCAAATAATTAAAAACATAAAAGTGTTGTTATTTTTATGCTTTTGCAATTGGATAACGTTGCCATTTTATTTTATTTTAATTTGATAGGTCAAGCATTAGAAATCATAAAAAACTGTATAAACCATCTTTTGCTGGATATGTTGAAACAAATCTAACCGACAAAAGATTATCACTACGGAGTTTGGTAAGCTTTCTTTGATACTTTTTTTCATATCAAATGCACTCAAAATTCATATTTCAACTCATTTTTCTTTTGTGTCGTATTGACAATTAGTTGACTTTTTTTTTCAGATTGACCATTCCGTGGTGAAAGTTTTGGTGATGGTGGAAAGACATGCATTACATCAAGGGTCTATCCAGCATTAGCCATCTATGGTGAGACACATTTGTTTGCTTTCAATAATGGCACTGAGACGATCAAAATTGAGACTCTTGATGCTTGGAACATGGCTAAATCCAAGAGATAGATTTAATACATAAGTGCTTTCAATTTTTCCTTCTCTTTCTGTGTTGACCCTTCTTTGGATGAGAACTTGTACAAATTTTCTATTTCTAGTAAACCATGATTAAAAAAATCTTCTTTTCTATAAAACTGAATTGATGACGCTTAATATAGAATGCAATTATCTTTCTACTAGTTCTTATTTCATTTCATAGTGTACACAAATGCTTACGTATTCCTTGTGTATATATATGAACTTAGACAAATAAAGAACTTATATATGTGTAACTCAATGTAATGAAGCTGAGAATTTCTCCAGCTAAGAGGAAAGAATTGAACTTCAAAACTTTCACGGATTCATGTCGAGACTAGATTAGCAACTACATTTAGATAAGGGAAAGTTTTCATCTTCAACCTTTTTTCTATGATATGCAACTTATAAGTATTATGTGAAATTTATCCACACTTTAATATTAATAATAACAATTCCTATGATAAACGAAAACTAAACTAAACAAAGCAAATATGTAAACATTCCAGATACATGTTCCTCTCTATTTATCCAAGTAAAGCTCTTGGCATTACAACGCCTATTGTGTTGGCTTGACCTTTCATAAGTGGAAACAGAATAAAACGTCTATTATAAAGGAGTTAACTGTCTGTTCTAGATTCAACACACTTTCACTATAGTGTCCAAGTAGATACTATTACTTTCTCTCAAACCATAGTACTATGATAAGAGGAACTAAGCAGCCTCGCACAATTCAACATCACATACATCATAATTCAGTTTACACATAGTTAGACCTCATAGTCTAGCATTTTTATCGACATGCAAATAAAGTTTATCATAAAAATGAAAAACACCAAATTAACATGAGATTTTTATGTTACGCTGCAGCAATTGACACAAGTTGTATAGTGGTTTCCCGATGTGTGACAAATGAAAATTGCGGGGACCCAAATGGGTTGCCTGTGTTTGACAAGAATTTGTGAACCCACATATTCCACTTTTCATAGGCAACCTTACGCAAGTGTAAGTTGTGTGAGGCATTTTGATTCCCGCAAACTCGATTTGTCATAACGCAGACAAACACACATAACTTGTGTCAGTTGTGTGAGGCACAAAAGTAATTTTTCTCGCTCTGCATCAACTGGACATTCCAAAGTAGCCCAGAGTCCCCCTTCCTATTGCACAACATTCTTTCCCCATAGTCAAGCATAAAGACAATAACAACATTGTCCAGACTTTTACTTGCCTTCGGCCGTCCCCTATATCACTTATTATCTGTTTCTAAGTGCACTCGAGGTAAACCAAATCTGCTATATTTTCAATAATCAACAGGAACTCAGCAACTGCAATATCGGTTCCTAGCATAGAGCTTGGACAGAGATGCAAATAGGCTGAATATCTGTGTCATCCAATTGCCAGACGAACCAATGTGAAGATTCCTTGACCATGAGTAAATCATCGATTCAGTTGTGCATCAACTCCTAGTTTCCTTCTGAGAAATTTAGCAAAGTTGAGGAGTCACATTTTTGCAAATGAGATGATAAATATAGTCAAAGCACTAAAAATGATCTAGCAACCAGAACTAATGGGCTATCAAATTGATAGCCGCCAACACCAACAACTAAAAAGGGGAAAAAACGGGGGGGGGGGGGGGGTTTTTTATGGGGAAAACATTATTCCATTACAATTGCTCCATTTATTCCAAACATAGTTTGACCCAACACGAAGTTTAAAAAAGAAATGAATACTTTCAAAACACGTGATCTTAAACATGTCCAGTTGAGGAGCGAGTTTTTTTTTTTTTTCCTTTGAGCTGTACAGAAACACTTGGTAATAAAATGTGGATAGTTACAAAAAAAAAAAATGAAGTCAATAATTTTCAACTATAGAATGTGTCGTTCTTTTTGGAACATACTATTAGGGAAATAGTGTCAAACAAATTTGGAACGGAGGTGTACTTGACATCCACTTAGATTATGTATCATTGAAAAACAAAGTTGATAATCTGGAAAAGCCACTCCTATGACATTATGTTGCATTCTTTCCATCCCAACTCAGGTAAACAGGCATTTGCTTTTCCTGAAAAATAACAAATTCAAATTGCATAGAAAGAGTAGAAAGGCTTAGAACTTTACACTTGATGAAGTTCTTAAATCTTTTCCTTCTCATGTCATGTTCATCAATTGGGCTGACTCTTGAGTTAAATTCCCGCAAGGGGTGATATTCTACTGAAGCCAGTTTCTCCTTTGCTGTCTGCATTCTCTTTTTTTCAACACTCTGCAATAATATAAAGGAAAAGATCATAATGCAGTTCATAAACTAGATGAATGCCACATTATTCTCCACAAAACAAATGTAAACTTACAAGGGCCTTCTCTAACCCTTGAATTTGTTGTTTGCATAGCTTGAGCTCCATCTCAATGGCATGGATACGATTATCAATAGGTACATTGCACTGCTCAACCATCTGCTTCTGCTTACCCCGGACAATCTCTGGCTGCCAAACATTTAGTGCAACTTTGGCTTGCCTGATAGCAAATCAATTGCAAAGTCAAACATCAGCCGCATCATTTTACATTATCTTTGACTAACAAAGAATAACGTAGCAACTTATACAACCAAGCAAACAAGATTGTGATGCTCTGGTATAAAACATTATATTCTACACCAACTCGAATACCAAACATATGTCTTATATAATCTCCTTATTGTATTTTTGCTTATAAAATTTTCAAAAGCAAGCAACCTGTTGTTTGTGAAAGCCAGACCCCAACCCCCATATTGTAGCTAAAAGTGAATAAACAAAAACAATAGATAACATTATAAGAGTAGACTTCTGTCCGTCACTACCTGATCTTACGCAAATTTAACAACTCAGCAACAGTGTTCTTCATTTTCCCTTTCTCCTCTTTAGATCGAAGTTCCATCTCTCCAATCCTCCTAGAATGCTCATTAATTTCACTCTGAATTCTTAAAACAGCCCTTCTATGGGCCAAAAGCTTCTGTTCTCGAACTTTTTCGTATCTAGTTGATATTAGCAACCAATCAGTTCTCCCATAAGATTTACCAGAGAAGATAATATTAAAAAGAAGGCAAGATGATATGGCTAAAGCTAAAATGCCACGAAAATTTAAGAACAAAAGACATAAATACAAGAGTCATATCTTCTGACCATCAGTATCTTAGAATAAAACACATACCCAACAACAACACACCCATGTAATCCCACAAGTGAGGTCAGGGTAGGGCAGTGTGTACGCACCCTTCCCCCTGCCTTGTGGAGGTAGAGAGATTGTTTCCGAAATATCACACAAATATTATTTGCAAATAATGAGATAGCATTTGCAAATCAATGTTTGTTTTCTCAATTTTTTCTATTTCAATTTCAACTCGAAATAGAGAATTTGAAGCTACAAACTGGTTTGACAAATATTTCAATGAAATTTAATGGCTTGCACACTCACAAAACTTCAAGTTTTTTACAAGTGAAATTCATTCTAAACACTAATGAACAAGTACTCGTTTTTTCAACTTCAACAAAATACAGTATTGTTTTAAGTTTAGATCAATTATTTGGATGTTTTCAAACATCTTCGCAAAAGCTGAGTGCTTTGTTTCATGTTGTATCCACCTTGGCAGAATTGACAAAATTTCTAGCCTTCACTAATTAAAAGGTCCCCAAAGCAACAAAATATTAGACTATCATTTGAACTGCTAGAGACTAAGTAGACTACTTTCCGCTAAGGCATAATATATAAATGTGTCATTTAACTTGGTTTCCGCTAGAATCTATGACCTCCAACTTTGGATATATACAACTAAATAGTTAAAACTTGTATAAAGTTGAATAAGTAGAAACACACGTCCTATGAACCATAATACATAATACATGTAGGATGTCATGTAATACGCAAATTGCAACGTAAAGACACCACACATGATGCATGTGTTTACTTATTCAACTTCTGGATAGTTTAAGTGTCGATTTGTGCATGCCCAAAGTTGAATGACGACATTTATATATTATGCCTTCTGCAGAAGATACAATATCCTTGATACTAATTTTTATTTTTTTGTAACTGTGGTTTCCGGGCCCAGCTTGCAGGCAACTAGACTAATTAGATTGTGTCTTCTTCATCAGCTAACTGTAAACCTAAGATTTTACATGATGCAAATACACTAAAACAACATAGACATATACAAAAAAAGAAATTCTGAGTACATGAGTGTGTGCATATATACCTAATTTTGTAGAGCCATTTGCTGGAAACAGAACATGAAGATGAAGGAGGTTGATATTGGGGAAAATCGGCGGAGAACAAAGAGGACCAGAGAGAATCATCGGAGGAGAGTCGATTGAGGAGGGTGCAAGTTATGGAGAGACAGCAAAGATCTTTGTAGTTGAAGTTGGAGGATTCAATTCCGATTTCAAGGATTTGCCTCCATAGCTCCTCCGGCAAAGCTGAATCCGACGCCGACATATTCTGCAAACCCGGCCCGATTCTGTTTGATGTTTAATTTTAAAAGGGGGAAACAAATTCTCAAACAAAACATAACTATAGTTATAAGTAAAACCTCTCTAAATTAATATTGTCGGAATCATGAATTTTTCTTTTGTAAAGGTATGTATTCTCATTTGGAAAAGTCTCAAGGAATTAAAATAAACTTGTAAAAAACGAACAATATTCATGAACTCAAGGTCATGTTTAATGATCTCGAGTACTACAACAAAGTGGATGTCAATAGCTTTTTTGGTTATTCAACTGAAAATGATATATGTTTAGAGGTTCAAAGCAATGTTAATGATAAAGTTGAAAACAATACAATACATTTGTAGTCAATTACACGTAAGGAAATACTTAGTGCGTCTAGAACTCTTCATGCTTCACATACTAGAATTTTTGGATGTAATAAGAAAAGTTAGAGATGAATTTTAAATAGATTTAATTTTTTACAAAAGACAAAAAACACTAGAATCGTAGTTCACTAATTGTCTTAAATATTTTGTAATTTTAACGGATTATTAATTTATAATATTAATGAGACCATATAGTTGTATAGGGGTCTTATGGAAATATATTATTTTATTATTTTATCGAAATATGTGAATTTTTTTCCACTAACCCAATTCAGGACCAGAGAAAAATATTATTTTAGAGAGTTTATTAATTTATTGAGTATTAATTTAGAAAGGTTTTACTATATATTAAAGCTTAACACTTCCACTAACTAACATACTATGTTTATATCAAATTAATAAACATATATACTATACTTTAAATTATTATTTAGTATTTTAAATTTGACTTTAACTTGTATTTATGTGTTGCATTTTGAATGTGCACAAGTAAAACATTTAGATTTGTATAAATATTGAACTAGTAAATACTTTATGTGGCATAATACACGTATAACAATAACTTTTAAAATTGACATAATACATAAATATGCTCTTTAACTTGATTTTAGTTGTCATCTCCACCCTTCAATTTTGAATGTGCACAAGTAGACACTTAACTTGTATAAAATTGAACATGTATCCTACGTGACATCATATATGTAGACAATACTACGACACAAAATTGTCATATAGAATGTCATGTAGGACGAACGTGTCTATTTGTTCAATTTTTTATAAATTTAAGTATTTATTTATACACAATTCTCAATACAAGTAAAGTTAAAAGTGTATAAATATCAGTCGAAAGTTAAGTTAAAATAATACGTTTATATATTATGTTGCTATTTTATTTCAACCATTAGCATAGGTAAATTCGGTTGTCAACTTTGTACAATCTTCTAGACTATCTAGATAGTCAAAGTCAATATACTACGCAAAATAAAATAATTGCATTATGATTTTCATTTTTTTAACAGCTTATTCTTGCTTTGCTGACATGACATGTACCAATTACGTTTAATATAAATAGTTTTAAGATAAGAATTTGATTGTGTAATTTATTTTTTTGGGTTATTGATCCTTGAGATAAATTATATTAGGATAAACATCACTAAATATCAAAACAACTAATTAATTAGTCTTAATAAAATTAATTTAAACATGACTAATTGTGACATTTTGATATGATATTTTTGACCTAAAATAACTATGAATTTGGACAACAAGAGCAAAATATCTTTTAAATTTATAATATTAAACGAGTGACATAAAATGTTGAAATTAAAAAGTTACACAATTTTGTAACAAACTTAAAAAGAAAAGGGAGGGAGCACTAAAATATAATTTCAGAAGGTCAATGGGAGAATTCATATATAGCCGCCATATTCTGTTATATATTTTATTTTAGTATTGCTATGATTATTTTCCACTATAAATCTGCAGACACAAAATCAGATATATATACAGAAACAAAGCACTTAGCAAATAGTTCTTGAGACTATTTCCTTAGCCAAAGAAATGGGAATTCCTTCATCTGTAACTCCAATTTTCAAAAGGTGAGTGACTATCAACAACTCAAATTAGTCCTATCTTCAATTCGTTGAACAGAAGAGTTGATTTCTCAGATGATTACCCGACTCATAGAAGAGTTGATTTATCAGATGATCACTCGATTCATAGAAGAGTTGATTTCTCAGATGATCACTTGATTCATAGAAGAGATCACTCAACTCATAGAAGAGTTGATTTATCAGATCATTCAATTCATAGTTATTATTTCAGTAAAAGAAAATTGAAATGAAGAGAAAATATAACTTTCTGAGATAACAACTATAGATCGAGTTGTTGGTTTTTTTGAGATAACTATTAGTTGAGTGATCGCTCGAGATTTTTTAATTTTTTTTTGTGTAAGAATAGTAGGGTCATAGCAATTAAGTAAAGAAAATTTAAAATTTGCAGGTTAGAAGGTAAAGTAGCAGTGATCACAGGCGGAGCTAGTGGAATTGGAGAGGCTGCAACTCGGCTTTTCACAAAACATGGCGCGAAGGTTGTGGTAGCCGATATTCAAGATGACTTAGGTTCGTGTGATCATTGTTAGAGTTTTGTCCTCATTTTCTTTCAAACTTATTTGAAGTTTATTTTTTTCCTTAAAGAAAAGTCAAAGTATTATCATAAAAGCTTAAACTTTTTCTGAATCCACAATGTAGTCATTTAGAAACTTTTATTTATGATCAACAGTTTTAATATTTTTTCTTTATATTAGTTTTCATATAATATATAATATTAGTTTTTAGTATAAGTATTTGTCATCTAATTTATCAATCATATTATTTGCAATTATAAGCTTCCGCATGATTCTCAATTCACCTTCATAACCCAACAATCATTTCATCTAAAAGTTTTATCTGTCGTCACTAAAAAAGCATTTCTAATTAGTGAACTTATTACATATTAATTACGTAATTATATTATGTCTGATCAAACAGGTCAAGCCCTGTGCAAAGAACTAGGCTCAAACGACACCATCTCCTTCACACATTGCGATGTCACTAACGAAAACGACATGGAAAACGCGATAGACAGAGCAGTTTCGAGGTATGGAAAGCTAGATATCATGTTCAGCAATGCAGGTATTACAGGAAACATGAAGGATCCCAGTATTTTAGCCACGGATTACAACAACTTCAAGAATGTGTTCGATGTGAATGTTTACGGGGCATTTTTAGGAGCTAAAATTGCAGCCAAAGCTATGATACCAACTAAAAAAGGTAGCATTTTGTTCACATCTAGTGTTGCTTCTGTAATTGGTGGAATTGGTTCACCGATAACTTATGCTTCATCAAAACATGCTGTAGTTGGACTAACAAATCATTTGGCTGTTGAATTGGGAAAATATGGAATAAGAGTAAATTGTATTTCTCCATATACAGTTGCTACACCACTTGTTAGGGAAATTTTGGGGAAAATGGATAAGGAAAAAGCAGAGGAAATTATTATGGAAACTGCTAATCTTAAAGGGGGGATTTTGGAACCAGAGGATATTGCTGAGGCTGCTGTTTATTTGGGAAGTGATGAATCTAAGTATGTGAGTGGTGTTAATTTGGTGATTGATGGAGGGTACAGTAAAACTAATCCATTTGCCTCAATTGTTATGCAAAACTATATTTAATTTCTAGAAGAAATTGAAGGATGACTAGTACTCTCGGGAAATTTTAATCGCTCAGTTGTCACCTTACTGGTGTGGTTTCGATTCCCCACATTCTAGAAGAAGTGGAAGGATTACTACTTTGTACTTTAGTTTCTTGTTGTTTGTTTGTTGTTTATGAGTTTAAAATATCATGTAAGTGTGTTCTTGTATCCCACATGTGGTGAAATTTTCACTTGTGGTTCTCTTTGGGACAGCTGATTAGTAAATGATACTTTTATAATTTTACTTGCAACTTGTGAATTTCTTAGATTACGGTCGGTTGAAAATATCTATTGGGTCGGGTTCACTCATAAGGGGTATTAATTAGTAAATTAGCTCATTAGTTTGTCCCTTCTTAACTCTAATCTTAGTGTATAAATACACCATTATTGGTGTAGAAAAAAAAGGAGATTTTTTCCTCTTTAGATGATGGATAGTGTTAATGAAATGTTTTGCATCACTAAAGGATATTTAGGTTGAAGGGAGTTCAAATATCCGCTTTGTGAAGATTTCTGACGATTGGTAGTCGCTGCAGATCCGCTTCCGCTATGGAGAAACTTGTAAATTTTTCTGAACTAGTATTTACGAATCAAATATAACAAGTTCTAAAAATCTCTTTTAAATAGACTAAAAGACTTATGCGTAAACATTAGACCACAGTCTAAAATTTGTAAGTTATTGCAAATGTCAGACGATAATAGTCTAATGTAAAGTTGAGAATTATCAAATATTAGTGAAAGGGATATTTGATATTTCAAATGGCTATATTGACAAATAAAATGATTAAATCATACCATGATCATGTATTTTTTTTTACTTCTCATAGCTAGAAAATTGAACTTTTAAATTTTTTATTTTTTTCTATTACATTGTAGAATCATGGAACGGGAAAGGAGATAGTAAAAAATCGAACTCACACTTAGTGTATGGAAGACCTCTTACGTGTACCACTAGACTGTAAGCCTTGATATACAAAATCTTTGCCTTGATGTACAAAATCTTTTTTTTCCTTATAACTCTTTTCTATTACATTTGAGGATAGGGGACAGTAAAAATCGAACTCACACTTAGTGTATAGGAGACTCTCACTGATACTACTAGACTGTAAGCCTTGGCAATAGAAAATCTGAACTTCGATCTTGATAATATACGTGATTGTTTTCGCGAAAAGTAGCCAATATAGGGACAATACAACAACTAAATTCTCTTATCCCTTTCACCAATTTTCCAATTTTTTTAATAGAGAATAAATTAAAGAATGAGAGACAGTAGAGACAAGTCCTTTTTTTTGGTTGTCACTATTTTGGTTCCACATTTGTTGGAAGAGTGTATCCACCACTGTAATCAAAAGCATGAGTATCATTTATCTCCTTTCTCTGTAGAGCCTCTTTATTATAAGGATGTCTAGAAGCAGCTATTGCTGTCCCAAAATCTGTTATCGATGATGATGCAGACGTAGAATTTGTTTCCAGACCATCATTTTGCAGAATACTTTCAAGCATTTTTACCACTTCACTCATCGTTGGACGATCAGCAGCAGCCTCTTCAACACATTGCATCGCCACGTCCACAAACCTTGTAAAACCAATTAGATTTGGCATGTTTCTAATGACTGGATCGATCATATTGCTCAAGCCATAATGCTCCTCGTCGTTCTTATTGATTGCTGTTCTCATCTCTCGAACAACGTATTTCCCCTTCTCTATTGGTTGTTTTGCAGTTATGAGTTCTAGCATTACAACACCAAAGCTATACACATCGCTCTTCTCGGTTAGTTGTTGAGTCATATAGTACTCAGGATCTAGATAACCCTGCAATGTAGTCAATAGTCTTAAATTCAATTTCATGCTTCACGAGTTCAACAAAATTCAATCTTTTTCTTGAAATAGAAAGCGAAAATGTGCAGGATGTGGTACTGACCAATGTGCCTTTAACTTGAGTAGAAACATGACCCTTTGAGCTATCTGATACAAGTTTGGACAAGCCAAAATCCCCGACCTTTGCTGTTAAGTTCTGATCCAACAAAATGTTAGTTGATTTCACATCTCTGTGAATTATAGGAGGATTGGCAAGCTCATGCAGATAAGCTAATCCTCTGGCTGAACCAAGCGCAACACGAAGTCTCCTCTTCCAATCTAGATAAATGCTCGTTTTCCCTGTAGAGCATAGTGGAAATTAACTTCTACAGAGAAATGGAAATATTAGGAACTTTTTAGTGTAAATTACTATAAATAGGAAGTAGCCTTTAATGTATAGGAGGATGTAACTTACCTGACAGATTCTCCCTGAGTGAACCATTTGGCATATACTCGTATACCAGTACTTGTTCGCCTTGCTCAAAACAGAATCCAACCAGACCAACTAGGTTCTTGTGATGAACCCGTGAAAGCAACTCAATTTCCGTCTTGAACTCTTGTCCACCTTGCATGGAACCATGTTGAGCCCTTTTGATAGCAATTACTTGCCCATTCGCGAGGGTTCCTCTGTAGACCTAGGAAACAGAACACACGCGAATAAGAAAAGCAGCTGAAGAGTTTATCCTCTTTAATTTATTCTAAAACAATGGATTTTCATAGCAAACCTTCCCATAGCCACCGGAACCAATCTCATTTCTCTCCGAGAAGTTACCCGTGCATTTCTTAAGTTCATCATAAGAAAACCATCTTGCTCCCTTTAGTTGTGGTGCACCTTCACTGTCGTTGCCACTTGGAGCCCATGATGCTGGACAAGGAAGGTCAAAGTAATCAGACATTTGAGTTCAATCCTACTTGCATTCTGGACATACAGTCAAACCTCTTTATAAAGGCGTCGTTTGTTCTGATATTTTTTTGGCTGCTATAGCGAAATATTGTTAAAGAGAACATATAATTCAACATAACATGAAAAATCAGTTCTAAAGAAAACTTGGTCGTTATAGTGAAATGTTATCATATAGGATGACTGTTATAGAGAGGCTTGAATGTATATATAGTTATAACTCATCTGTTTTTTTCTATAAGAGATGACATTACCAAATGGTCTACTCAATCCAATAGCTCTTTCAGCAAGTTTCTTTTGTTGAATAGCATATATTGCAAGAGCAACAAGCAAGAGGACCAGGATGGTACACCCGGTAGCTATTCCTATAACTTGTCTTGAGCTAATAGAAGTTTCTCCACGTTCGGCTGAAACAGTTTTAGTATTAAGTCAGTATATTGGTCTAGAAGTTACAGTTGTAAAGAAACTCAGTAATTATACCTTGGAAAGTGTAAGGAGATGCTATAAAATAGTACGGTCCAAACTCGTGAGGCGGCTTATAAGTTTGGTTACTCAAGGAGAATCCAATCCTCTCAACCTCTGATCTATTAAAATACTTTCCTGTTGGTGGAAATAATTCTAACTGCACCTGAAGATAATCATCAATGTTGAAGAAGGGGTTCTGCAGAGAAACTGAACCGGGCGTGAGATCCAACTTCACCCACAGGCTCATTTCGAGTGAATGGAACGTATTATCATTGGACAACTCCCTAAAAGAGGGTCCTCTAAAGTAGAATGTTCCCTGGTACGGATAAGCACAATCACAACTTTGTGGGCTAACTTTTTGATCAGCAGGACATGATTTGCTCCCACAGTTAGCTAGGCTGGTTGAGTAAGGCTTTGCAGATTGCTGCTGAAGCTGGCAGTAGTTTGTGTTTCCAAGGGCCGTGTCACATACAGGGTTTCCAATCAGTCTGACGACAACCACAAAGCAATCAAGGAGAAAGAAAGAGACAAAACATAATCTAATTGACGAAAAAGGAGAAATGAGCCATCTCACATCAAGGTATTTTTGTAACCAGAGCCAAGTGTTATTGAGGAGATCTCGTTGTTTTGTAAATCAACAAGTGTGAGTTGCCTGCCACTGATGCCACCCATGTTCAACGTATCATTCAATGCGTTGTTCCTCAGTTTCCTGCATAAGTTATTACGATCATTACAACCTCTTCATTGCAGGTAATACACATGGAATATTCAGTTAGGATCGCGATACTCACACTTGTTGTAATTGAGGTAAAGCGAAAAGTTTCTGAGGCACTGATCCATGGAGTGAGCCATACTCAATGACTCTGAGCATTACATCAGTTCTTCCTACTTAGATTCATCAAACTTTTTGGGAAACTAATAGGTGCATTCATAACTGATTAATACTCACAGAGTGGTGAGAGACTCTAAAGTCGAGAACCATATAGGCGCCTCCGATTTATGGAAGGAATTATTGCTCAAGTCCCTGGAAGAGAAACAAAATATGATGTATCACTTCAACATTGAGAAACAACTAGGGAAAATCAGGATTCTGGATATTTTCCTTACAGATAATTAAGGGAATTCATTCCAGTTAAATCTGGTAGTGGACCGGACAGTTCGTTGTGAGCTAAGTTCCTGAAAACAGAAATAAGTGCACAAAAGTACAACTTCAATCTACAAGTTATTGATTTGAAGCAGAAAATTGAGTGAGCAATGATGGGAAAAAGTATACTTACAACTCTACAACGCTTGTGAGATTGTTGAGGTTTGATGGGACGCTACCATTTAAGGCATTTCTATCGAGCCGACTGTATATGTTAGGTGACATGAATACCAGCAACAGATAAAAGAGTACAAACATATAATCCAAAACAGAAGGTGAAGTAGCATGAAAGATAGGATAAATAAGACGGTCAGTTCTACTCACAGAACCTCAAGTGTCTGAACAAGTCCTAGTGTAAATGGAATGCTCCCGCTAAGTTGATTTCCATCAAACAGTCTGCCATATCAGAAGTTCACAAAGTGAGAAGGAGGGCAGGAAGAATAGCGTGAATCACCCTTTAGTTTCTTGACTTACACATGTATTAGCACCATGTCAGCACTAAAAAGAATGTCCGGAATGGAGCCTGAAAGTTGGTTTTTGTTAAAATGGCTGCGATAATGACATAACGTAGAAGTCAGACCTTAAGAGGTATATATCCCAACTTAAGAACAGCATGTAATATGGACATATAAAGTTTACTCACAAGTGTTTTGCTTTTTTTAGAAGGTCTAACCCCGAACTTGAGGAGGTTGAAACAGGAATTGGTCCTGTTAACTGGTTATCTGCTAGATCAAGCCAGTACAGTTTTGACAGATTGCCAAGAGTTTGTGGAATCTCACCGGTGAAATTATTTGAGTTAAGTGCCCTGTCAAAGAAATTGACATGGAACTAAATGAGTTGACGATACACCTAAAATGATCACAAGTTAATATGGCTGAGA